AGTGACACATTGCATTCACTGCAGTTTGTTGATGCTTTGCATTTAGCTTTTTCTCCATTGCTTCTTGACATCAAAAGGAAGGAACATCTCAGGACTTCATTTTGTCTTATTTACAAAAAAGAAGAAGGTAGGTTTGCTGCTGAGGCTACAGAGCAGTCAGGATACGTGTGGCTGATATGTTTTTTTGAACAAAAGAAAAATAAAAAAATAAAAAAATCAATGAAAAATTAGAACTTATCAGAATGTAAGCTCTTCACCAAAAATATCAGTTTCAACAAAAACAAAAATCAAAAAACAAAATCCTTCATATCTCAAGTAGTATGTCTTGTCAAGACAATCATAGCTGAATAGAATGGCCTACTAAATAGTCTTTTAGCTTTTATGATGAGGAACCTAAGGCTCGATTCCCTGTTGTGTCTAATTCAGACCCAGCATGATTTCACTTTAATATACAGTGAAAACAAATTTGAACTGTCGCGGAGTGGGGAAGGAGTAGAAAGGAAAAAATAAAATCTCTGACTTCTCTGTAGTTCAGAGTTCCGTTTCCCGTTATGATGCAGGATAGGTGTATGGCCCGAGCTAATCAATCAGATATTAAACTTTTATTATTCCTTACATTATTTGCAGAAGTGTATACGAGGCACTCATATTCTGGTTCTGAGCAGAAGGGCGGAGTACCCTTGTTGAAACACAGCCTTTTCTCTCTGATGACAGAAAAAGGAGATCTGGTCACTTTTTTCTTTTCCCCTTTTCACCTCAATAGCAAATGACTATTTCACAAAAGAGAGAAAAGAGGTTTCCCTTTCAACAAAAGAGGTTTACCCATCTAAATATCTTCTTTAACTAAGTTCACGGTTGTTCACAGATGTATTGAAGACTAACTAGCATAAGTTCAATATGATACCGTTTTATTATGAAATCACTCATGGTCTTCTACATTTTTTGAGTAATTATTTTTGAACTGTTTAAAGCTAACTTATATATTAGCCAGTTTGGATATCATTAGCAACCTAGCTACAGCTATGTGATTCCTAGAGAATTTTTATTTAGCTTAGCAGGCTTTATATCGCTAAAATATAAGCAAACTCTTAGACTCAGACAACAAAATGTGTGAAGCAAGGAAGCAAACAAGCAAGCAAGCAAACAGATAAACAAACAAAAAAAAACCCACATATAATCCAGTTTTAAACATTGTATGAATAGCTGTCCTTGCAACACTTTTACCAGCTTGTAAAGTAATTTTGGTCAAAAATATAAAAACCTGTTGATTTTGTGCAAAATTCAATAGTTTTGCCTGAGTCTAAGAAATAATTTTCTATATCAGACTTATTAATAGGGTAGACAAAGGATTCTCATGGGATTTGAGGGTAGGGATAATTCTTTAGGCTTCTCTGTGGTGTAATAAGGCATTTTCAAATAAAGACTGTGTGGAATGTTGGATTTTTTAGATACAAATCTAATTCTAGGAAATACGCTTTCACATATGAGATCAGAGAAGTGTGAATATGATACATACACTGTAGCTTCAGAACAGATTTTCTTGCAATTTCCAAGGAATTCCTGTGCATTTTCTGCTGCCATTCAGTTTGACTAGATATGCAAAGACTCCTTGACAATCTTATGTCATACAATGATCAAGTATAATCAAAATTTTCATGTAATATTTATCCAATACATTTCTGTCTGCAGCTGCACATTCTAAGGTTTAAGAGATTTTATGTACCATATTCAAAGATTTTTCCCCTCCCATGGGAAATGGTAACCTATAGAAAGAAAAATATAGCATTCATATGTGGATATTTTGTTTTCATTCCCTTAATTCAAGAAATACAATACTTCTCTTGTGTTCTGTGACTCCTGTAACTCAAAGAACAAAATAGCAGGTAGAATTCCATAAAAAATTCTTCAGTGAACAACGCAACCTGTTTTAGCTTATTGATACTGAGCAGAGAAAGAATGCTCTGTATAGAAAATACAGTACTGAGGAGTAAGAATATGTTTTGGGCAGACTTAGTGATGCCATAGTCAAGATTATGACTTTGCAGTCTTTTGTTATCTTATAGACTTTCCTGTTTCTATCAATAAAGAAGATAACTTTTCTAGCTTTCATAATTCACTTCTAGAGTCACAGTGTGATAACATTATACTTGATCCAATCTAATGATCACTGATGAAGCATACAGTGATGCTTCAAAATGGCATTACTTTACATATACGTAAATTCTACATAAAATAAAAATAAAATCTGCCACTGGACAGGCTGCAACCAATAATTTAATATTAACTTGGTAGCAGACAATTGTGTCACCATGCGTTCACCTTAAATTCTGTAATGATCTTAAAAGTCAATGTAATGGCATGCTTTATGGTGTATTTATTTCCTTTTCAGAGTGGCAAAAAGCGAATGGGAAATATTTTATTCTTAATGGGTGCCTATGCCTGAAGGATTTATAGGTTCAAATAATTGATAAATGACACCTTTACTTCAAAGGGAAATTCCTATGAATCTCATCCCCTTCAAAACAATAAAAAAAAACAGACAAAATAGAAACAATACTTTTTTTTATTCTTAATTCACTGGAAGAAGGAGAGGTTTCAACTGATACGAAATTTCATAAGTCCTGGAGTGATTGTATCAATTCAGCCATCACAACTATTAAGCTTAAGAAGGACTGTGTTATAGATTTGTGGGAATATAGAGTAGATATATATTTTTTTCTTTTGAAAAAGAAATGCAATTCTGAATATCCACTGCTTATAGCAATGTAACTCAGTGCACAGTAAATTCTTGTCTTTAGTTTTCTTCAAATGGGACAACTTTAACTGAATTTTGTTAGTAGTACCCTTAAGATCATATGCTTTTCAAGGCCCTTGGAAATCTTAATTTTAAAAAGCCTATTCAACTGTGATTTAGTGAAATAAAAGAGGTTTTGGTATTTGGAGGTGGTAGGGATGTTTGACATACTTTTTAAGGAAGATTTATATGGCCTCTACATGGAATAGTCCCATGTTTTTTCTGGAATAGATAAAAAGCAAGAGTTCTTATATTTCACAATATTTCATCAGTAGAATATAATTTATAACATCAGGATATATAACATAATACTAAAATAAGGAATTTATATCAGATTATAAATTGCAAACTTGCATTCCAGATAATTTATGAAGCACATTATATAGTATACATAGTATGTACACCATTTGTATGTACAGAGTAACATCTCACATCAAATATAAGGGATTTCCATCTTTCTGACTGTAATATGTCAGAAGGTAAGGATATGTAGTGTAGCAACAAGCTTGCAAGATTATTTTAGAATTGTGCAACAAAAAACAAATAATTTTTATGGCATTGAGTAGAATGAAATAGATTTCTTTCCATAGAAAGCATGAAAAACTAACGTGTTTTTATGTCAGAGGAACTTTTTGTTTTTTACAAATATAGGAGATAGAAAAGCAAGGGAATTGTGCTGTTTACTCTAAATCACATTTAAATCTCCTTTGAGTGCTATGCGCAAAAATCAGCACTTTTGACATCTTAATCCAGATGCATGAATTATCTTTCCACAAATAACAAGGAGATTTACATGAAACTGTTCTCTCAGCACCTGGTTGGTTGAACACCTGCTTCACTCCTGCAGCACATCTCATTCTCATTGAACTACATACACGTGCTACATTTTCTTTTTTATTTTTATTTTTATTGAAAATCTTACATGTGTGACTAAAAGTCATGGGCAATATCTTTCAGTTCCATTACAAAATCTGTCATATATATATATATCTACACATATATATATATATATTTAATACAACTAGAAGCAAATCTACTGAATTATGAAACAATGATTGTCTACCAAAATGTAACTCAAATTAAATATCCATGTTGCAGATGATTAAAATTATTTTGTTTTTCTCTGATAAAGCTGAAGGCCACTTTCACATAGTTAATTGAGAATGCTGGGTTGCAAAAATTACAAAGCCTTAATGATAGTTTCCCTAATTCCAGCCTTTTGTCACCCGTACAGTAGGATATTTCATCAAGGATCCTTTTTTTCAGAAAGAAGTACTTTTAGAATGAGCATCATCCTCTATGTACCTTTGATCCACAGACATAAGCCCAGTCCTGCAAATAATTACTTATCCCTCTCAGTAATCATAAGTAAGTCAAGTCGTTGCAAGTTAAGTACAAAGAAAAAAACTTGCAGGAATAGAGTCTGACTTAGAAACTCATCTACAGATTAGCTAGAACAAAACAATCTGAAAGAATATTCAAAAAACACTATTGTTACTTTAATATATGCCTTATTATCTAATAATAAATCATGAAAGATGAAGTATAAATATTGTCAGAATCATAAAAAAGTTGTCTTATTCTAAGAAATCCTACTTCAAAATCGTACAGTATTTTAACCAACAGCAGTTGTCCTTCTGTTTTGGCACTCCTGAACCAGTGTAGAAATTATGTGTAGTGAAGTTAACTCCGTTGGGGAAATATCCATGTGCAGCAGGATCTAAAGATGAATTCTGGAGTTAATAGCATTACTTTGCTTAACATATGAAAGAAATTTAAGAGAGTCTTTTACTGTGATTCATCAGCAGCAAAAAAGACAGGGAGGGGGAAAAGCAAGTCTTCGAAGCATATAGGATGTTTGACCTTGAAAACTAAATCTTGCATTAAAGACACTCCCAGCTACCTCTGTAGTCTTCTTTCCAAAAATGCAATGTACAAATATTTTATTTAAATGTCTCAGACTCTATAATGGCTCAGAAGAACGGCTGCATGTCCTTGTAGCTGTTCTCCTTTCTGAGAGATGAACGGTGGGCTCAATTGCTTTACTGTAATTTCTCCATTTCCATGCTTCATTTCCTACATTTATCTGAGAATGGAGAAAAATCAGCATGTTCTGACAAGTCTAATACCATGAGGCAGTAAAATGGACCTGAATTTAGTGGAGACTGGAGCTCCAAAATAAATATAACACTTTATGTCAAATAATAAGGATAAATTCTCCTGTACAAATCAGAAGAGATAATAAAAAATAACAAATAGATAGCAACTTCTTTTCCATACCTACAGGGGCATCACAAAACTTTTTAACTTTAAGACTACCCTTCCATATTTCTCATTTTATGTGATTTATAAAGAACTTTGGTAAGTCGATGACAAACATTGCAGGATTTCTTAGTAAAAATTGTAATTTTTCATGAAATTACCTAGGAACTTACAGAGACTTCCAATTAAATAGCTCCAAGAACAAACAAGAACAATTTATAAACGATCTCATGTGTTTTTGTTCGCTTTAGATCTGTCTTCCTGTTTTCCATCTAGCTAGCTACATGCAACGCTGTAAAGAAAAATTGCAAAAAAGTTGCATTTCTAAATATTATATATTGTAATGCTGTATTGAATGCTGTATTATATTTGCTGATTTGTTTCTTCTTACGCTTATGTCTTACCAGAGACTCTGCATTCTACGTATAGCAGTACTGTGAAGGCATCTACAGAGTATCATTGGCTCATTGAGGTCACAGTGCACTACATACCCTTGAAAGTTACTTGCCTCTGCAGGTACCTGAGGGTTGCTATCTATTTGAACGTGGCTGAGCATTTCATTTTATCAAAAATGCCATCAAATGCTCAGATTCTGTGTGGTCAGTGCAGTCCCTAGGACAAGTCTAATGAAGATATGTTTCACCAAGGCAAAAAAACCTAAAAGGTTAAAAATGGAGAAATATGTACAACTCTCTTCAGTTCGTATGGTTGAGTTTTTTGTTTTACTATTCTTCAGTGCATTTTCAGAGAAAGTTTCCAAGGCTATGAGTATAAGCAGTCTGGTCCAGTTCCATACATATCCGCAAGTCGTTTAAAACGAGGGCCCCAGTCACTGAGGTAATCGTAATTCTGATCAGAGTTCGAACTGATGGAATCTAACGAGCTGAGCGACTCCGCCACGGAGCCGTTCCCCTCAAATGCATATGTCTGCAGGGAGTCGTATGGTGGAGCGCAGGGGTCCACGTCCGCTTCTTTTAGTCTTTCCCAGATAAACTCCCTAAAAATGACGTTATCTGGGATGCTTTTAAAAGTCGGTCTGCTCAGGAATTGAATCTCAGGCGTCACATCCCTTCTGGTCTTGGTATCTCGGATGATGTTGAGGTTTCTCAAGGCAGCCATGTCAAAAGCCTCGGTGTCTTCTTCTCCACCACCCTCATCATCATACCTGACAATATTTTCTCTGATATCTCTCTCTTCATCAAAAATAAGGGGCTCTTTTTTTCGTCTCCTCATGGTGACAATCAGCAAGACAAGAACTGGAATACAAAAAGACCTGAGCTTTAGTAATGCTAAAGTTTGAACATATTTTTCCTACTGTTGGAAACATTCATTAATTTATATGATAAAGACCCAAGGAAACAGTAGGCAATTTATGCAGTTAGATTTCAAATTACTAGATTCTAAAATGGCTTTTAAAGCACGAATTTTTTAGACATTAAAGACACTATTTCCAAAGCCATTCTGAATTAATGTCTTCATCTCTGATTCTATATCCTATGCTATCCGCTAAACATAAATTTTAGGACTGGTTCAGTCTGAATATTACAATCTCACAGCCATGAAATTAAAAAAAAAGGAACCTTTTTCTGGACTCTTAATAGCTCAAGTGGTAAAAACACATTCGTAAAGTAACTGAATGGAATTTAACAGCCACAGTTTGGGAAATGACTGAATTAAAGAACATGGCAATTCTCTGATGAAATTCTCTCCTAGATTGGAGAACTCTGAATTGTAAAACTGTGTGTAACATAAGACTATTTTAATTTGTGGATTTAAAGTATCTCTATATTTGACTGCACTTTCCTTTAAAATGCAAAGTACTACACTACAGGTTTATGTATTATGTCTGGTGAGAATTGCTAGGGCTGGAGTTTACTGTATCAAGCAGTGCTAGGAAAGATAATTATTTTTAAAATTCTAATCCTTAAAGTTTCTTCTTTCAACTTGAAAGCTTATATTAAAGGGCAGTGGCATCTAAAAGAACCAGGAGAAACTAATTCAAGGCTCCTATTTTTCAAGTATGGTTTTAGTAGAGAAACAGCACCGCTGACACACAAAACATGGAACAAGTAATATGAATATTGCACCATATGTGGGGCATGACAGAGCATGATTCATCGTCCTAAAAATAATTAATATTATACTGTAGCATCTGGATAACATTTGCTGAGTTAATGATGCTCCTAGAGAAGAGAATGCTTTGCTATCACTATAAAAATAACAGTACATTGAGTAGTAAGTGTCCTATCACATTCAAATAATCTGTTCTGATTTAATGTTTATTTTTAGTCTTAAGAATTTGTGATTATATAATTTACATCTTTCAGGTTTACGTTCTTTACTTAGAGCAGTCTGCTGTGCCTACTGAATTTTATACAAACTTCTCAAAAATAAAAGGCTAATTAAGCTTGAGCTGTCCCTAAGTAGTCTCATAAGTGGCCTCTATAAATTGTATATTATGTTATTGTCATTTTCTAAAGTCGTGGAGGATTTTTTAAAATTAGTATCAATCTACTCATAACTAAGCCTGATGTAATATGAGAATTACTTGGTTAGAATAAACCAGTCCTTCAGATCCTGTATGTGCTGCAGACTATATCATCCTTCCTTAGATGTTGTGATACTGTTTAGAACAGGCTCTAGAATTCAGCATAAGCCGAATTTAAAGATAGGACTTGTGCTAATTATTATTTTTTTTGAGACGGGGAGGGTAGCTACAGGAAACACATCTAATGTTCCATCTATTGACAGACGCTTTATGACTACATTATTGCAGCATCAGCTCTTTCTTTTTTTTCCCCCCCGATAGCATTTCCCTGATTGAATTCAGGAGCCACTAGTATGCGGCACATTGCTTTGAACAACATTTACAAAGTAATTTGAGAACATAGAATTTTGACCTTTAAAGGGGCTTTTGTGTGATTTCAAAATATTTTGATATTAGTATAGTACAAATTGAGCTGTAAATTATGGAACACAGAACATAAAATTACCATCATAGAGGCAACAGTTGCTCTTCACTCTTAATAGGTTTCTTTATTATAAAAGATATTTTAAAGTGAAAGACAAATTAGGCTGCTGTCAGCAGAAATTTACATTTAAGCTTAGATTACTTTTGACAGTACTATTAATTTTTTATTATTTTTAACATTTACTGTCACAATTTTATTGCCATGTAATAAGCAGCGAATCATTTCCTTTACTCAAGCGTAAATGTTTTTTTCACACCATTGTCATTCTTAATACACTTCATTTTGAGAGTTAAATACCTGCTAATAAGTGAAAAATATGAAACTTAGTGGGCAGGTCTGCCTGAAGGTATAATAAAAATCAAGAGAAAATGAGTGTTTTATATAGTATGCCTTGTACATCTCACACTTGCTTGAAGCCAAGAAAAATATAAAGTCTTTCTAAAGGCTAAACATTTTAGCATTTAGGTGGCTTTATGAGATTATTAATTTCTAATCATTCCAACAGCTATGAACAATAATGTTTAGCCTGTAAATGAACAAAGCTTTAGCTGCATTGCAGGAAATACAAAGATGAATACCAGTCCAAACTAAATTGCACTGATATGTAAAACAAGTGCAAATGGTTTTAAGGCTTACCCATTTTTCTTTAAGTCCCCCCACCTTTTTTGTTTGTTTGTTTTTTCTTTTTTTTTCCTACATTTATTACAAAAGCTGAGATTAAGGCCATAATTAGTGACCAGATGAACATCTAGAAAACCTAATTTTAGTCTTTTCAGAGTAGAAATAAAATACGATTGGAAATGCACTTGTGCATTGCACACTGAGGTCATTAGTTTGGCTCCATACTAGAATGCCACATACACACTGAGGAGATGAAATGGCAAAGCTAATTTCATATTTCATAAACCATTTAACAAATAAATAAAATAATTGATTAAAAAAATCAGATTATTAAGAATGATAACCAGAACTAATAAGGATAAGTCTCCACTAATATTTTCTTATGAATTAACTTGATTGTTCGAAATATCGATTTTGTTTAACGGGTAGAATAGCCTAGAGACTTTTTTTTAACTTTTGTATTAGCTGAGATAAAACCTAGCTGAGATAAAATCTTTCTATCAGTATACCTCCAATCATAATATTAGTAGTTTCAGTTCACCTAAATCAATTGCTAAACAAGCACCTTTAGGTACAAGAACTGATTCTTCTTTTGCCGTTTTGCAGAGAGTTTTACAGAATTACTATGAAATTTCCACTTTAGTATCATCCTGTGCAAAACTAGGTTTAGTTCAGCTTCCTGAGTGTTTTCCTCTGTTTTAATCTTTCCATTTACACTCAAGGCAACTGCTACTTCACTCTAAAGAAGTCATTATAGCCCCGAGACAACCCAAAAAGGAAGACCAGAGGCAGAAAGAGACAGAGTTAAACCCGAGCAGGGTCATTACCATATATATACTACACCCTTAAGCCTGGCATTTACTATAACACTAAGCCACATTAGCTGTGAGCAAATGGGCACATTGGTTTATGCCTTAGGTGTGTCATGAGTCATAAAGCTGAAAACTGGAGACCTTCAGCTATTTAAGCGGTACACCAATAGCCTATTTATTCATACCTTGTCATTGCTATAGTGAGATCAGGTTTGGGAATTACAGCTAAGACTAAGGAAGTCTGTATTTAACTCCCCATTAACAAGTTTCGTTTGCAACTGTTACTTAATCAATTTAGATTATTATTTTCAAAGTAACTACAGTCTTTGAACATTCAAATTGAGTGACCTAGATAGGCTCCAATTTTCCATACATTCTAGGAGGTGTATCACCCTACAAAACAAGTTCTGCGTTGCATAATCAGCCACCTTTTAAATGCCTCAATTTGGATACTCCAATATTAAACAACTTGTAGGTGCATTAATTTTTAAAATATAAGGTCAAAATCTCCACATTCTAGATTATCACATCCTGTGCCTATCTTAACTATTTAGAGAGTAATATCCTTAGGACCGGGACAGCTTCTTCTTGCTTACTAACCACACAATTATGTGTGTGCTAACTTAATTAGGCTTTTGTAGGTATTATGGTGATAAAAATGAATTCCCTGTCTTTCAATTGTCAAAGTAATAATTTGAATCTATATTTTGAATTTTAATCAATGTATTATTAACTTGGTAAATCTAGTACTAGACTAATAGGAGCCTTTCATTAAGAAAGTGGTTGGTACTAATAGTTTATATTCAGAAGTATGGAAGACAAAAAACATGAGAGATCATGATGTTAGTCTGCCTTTCCATCGTTTCAATGCAAAGAAAACTTTTATGTTCTCAAATATGATTGCTTTATCTGTAGGTGAAAATTCTTTGTGTGCGTGTGATTTTATGTACATACTTTATGCTAAACACTTATTATAAAAGCAATTATTTTGCCTTGAGGATGCTAACTGAAAAACAAATTACCTTGAATCAAATTACCATATAATTTTCAGAAGAGTTAAAAAACTCCTACTTACTTCTCTAAAAATTATGTTCACTCTAAATTCAATACACACTATTACTGTTCTTTTCATATTTTCTTTATAGAACAAATGGCAAGCACTTTATTTTTTTTTTTTCTTTAAGATGCAGCCCCACTGCAGAGTAAATAATTATTAAGATTTTCTGGGTAATTAACAAAGTACTGAAACTCTCTTGTGGAATAAAATTTAGAATTTAATCTCTGTCAGTCAATTTGAGCCAGGAGAAAAGCTTTGGTAAAATACTGTTAATTTCTGAAAGCTATTTTACTTTGAAAAAAAAATTAAAAATTTGACTACACCAAGTTGTTTATATCTAATTGCAGTGAATTAATAAAATGTGGTAACAGTCTTCCTTCTTACTATTAATGCAAATTTCCTGCTTAATTAAAAGTGATCAGTTGTTTAAGTAAAAATAATGACAGTAAGTAATTCCACTGAAACAATCAGAATCTTGGTAGAGACAAATGGCTATTTCTTAGACAAAAGGATGTACAGGGCAAGGACAAGTATCAAAGCACAGGATACTAACTTTAAGAAGATAAGGGCTTGTTGAGAATTCAGAATCCTAGTGCCAGAACGCACATATTCCTGACATTTATGCAAATCTCATCCCTCCTTGTCTTTGCAACTGGGAACCATGTTGAGGTGATATTGTCAAGCTTCTTCAATATGACTGCATTTGCACTGAGTATTGAGCTTAGGTCAGAAATGTTATTTTGGTCCTATAGCCTGACTCCTCTATTAATTCTCACACAAAGAGGTGCATCCCTTGGTCCCAGTCCCGGCACCATTTGCCAACAGCCTGAAGTCTGTTCTTTGTGCAGAGCACTTCAGGATTTCTCCTAGGAATGGAAGGAAGGTGAAAAGGGAGGAGGAAAATTCATAGCAGCACTACCATTCAGCTGATCTCAGAAACTTACTTCTAGGAACGGGTAGAGGGAGAAGAAAAGCTCTGGGATCAGAAGAGCAACAGCACTTGACTGAGGGGTCTTACTGGGCAGCAGTAATATTTAGACACCTCTGCCCTGCTGAGACTGGTACCTAGCTGGGCACACAACAGCAGCAGGATGCAAAGCCACAATGCAGAGTTCAGAGCCAGAGTTAGCATACAGTGTAAACATAGCCTAAACAGCACTGCAGTTCCCAATTATACCAAAAAGGAGCTGCTTAGGAAGAAAGTGATGGGTGCTCATGCAAATATCTACTTGGATAAACAAGGGTGACACATTCAGATAGTCCACTTTGGAAGTTCAATTCTTTGACAATGTCAGGATGGTCATCTGCCAGATTCCTCTTCAGAACACGGTACATTTGTCAGATACTATGTTCGAAGAGCTTGTTCTTAGCTCTTTACCAAATGCTTGTTCTGCACAGTGTAAAAGTAACTGAAATAAAAACCCAGGTTATCTGATTTATTGGTTGTATATGAGCCCTATTACATTGAGTAGAATAAACAAGTTATTGCCTGGTAACTTTTGAGTTTCCACTGAATGCTTTTCTCTGAGAAATATGGCTCCTACTTAAGAAAAGCATATGCATAGACCAATCTGCCTTGTAATCTATAGTAGCTTCTTATATGTGTTTCAGCAGCTCCATTTTTTTTTACAAAAGAAATAGTGGTCTTTCATTTTGGGATAAAGTGGATTGCTGTTACTGCAGAACTCTTCCTCCTGTTAAATACTTTGGACCAGTGTTGCAAATGGATAATACTCCACTAACGTCAATTTTTCAATGCCGGTTGATACCAGAGAAAGAGCTAACATTGTATATAATTTTTAAACTATACCAATTAGCTACTTGTCCAAATAAACTTCATTTGGGAGTATAACTGGCATAGAAATGCTGCTAGAAAGATTGTGTATAGAAATTTCATTAATATTGTTGATAATTGTTCAGTCTCATTTCCCTTTTAACTCTGTTATTGCTTAAGCCTAATCATTTGTTCAGTGAGTTTGAACAATCCTATGATTTTTTTTTGTCACAAACCTGGAAAAACCTGGAAATGCCACCTGGGCACTCACCATATATAATGTCTATTCAGTGAGGTATTTGGGTTCGCTGTAGAGGGAGTATTTTTACTCTGTAACAATGATGCAGGACGTCAGTTTCTGTTTTCAGTTTTAACCTAGTAAAGACATCCTTATGAAGGCTAGGCCTTTTTTTTTTTTACCATTTTAGAAATGTTCATAGCAAAAGTAAAACTGCCTTACAGTGACATGGATGAAAGTCATTAAGAAGATAAATCTATGCAATTGAAATATAGCCATGAACAAAACTGTAGACAAAAATATCTCTTGGTTTCACCTATGAAAATTACTTAATAAACAGAGGCAGATCACTGGGATTATAACAACTTGAGGACACTACTATCTCCCCCTTTCTCTTAAACTGGTATGTGCAGCCAGGGAATATAGTAATCTTTCCGTAGATGATAATAAACAAGAAAATTCTTGTGTACTGGCTTGAGATATATGTAACGAGATCTTTCTAACAATTAACAAAAGTGCATCTACGCTCATCTGCATCCTGCAGATGCTGATGATCCTTCATCTTTACTCCCTGACCTGGACCTGTTAGTCATTTTTTTAATCGTGTTGTCATGAAATGATAAACGCTAACCAAACTAGTCTCTTGACATGGTTCCAGTATTTTCAAACCAGTTGCTTTCCCTGTCTTTTACTTAGTTACAGTTTCACTGCATAACAAAACCCAATTGTGCTACCAGTTACAGAAGATGTAGGAGATGTTCAATTAAATAAAACAATTCTCATCTATAAATTACATCTGTAGCATTTTCTGAATGTCTTTTGTTCTCTATAACTCAAAAGGTATTTAAAAACAGTTATATCTCTAAAAAGGAGCACACACTGATACAGACTATACAGTGAGTAATCTGAAAATGACCGGCTACATTAAACAAGAGAAATACTTCCATAAGCTCACTGTTTCACCTGCATTGTCTCTCTCGTAACTGCTACATTTAAAGTAACTGATCATTTTCCTTCTAGTATTATTTTATAGCTATAACTGGAGGCACCTTAACTTAGATACAAAGTACTAGAACTTTACAAGCTCAAATAACTGTTTTGTGGCTCCTAATAATAAAATACTTCTCTGGCTGGCATGTTAGGCTTTCCTGTCTAAAAAGTTATGTGAAGAAAGGGGGAAAAAAAGATAGATACCTTTTTTAATAAAAAAAAATGAAAAACAACAGAAAATAACAGTAATAGTAAGAAGACATACCTAGTAATGTCAAGACACAGGCCAGTATTGCTATCAGGGCTCCAGTGCTAAGTCCTGCAGGCAAGATGTACGCCTCTGCATTGCATGTCTGAGCAATACCATCTGCATCACAATCACAGACTCTGATGGTGAGGGTATTAGTGCTACTAAGTGAAGGTGATCCGCTGTCCACAATGAATATTGGCAAGTAGAAAACAGACTGTTCCTGTCTCCGGAACCCATTTCTTCTAGTTAGTACTGTTGCAGTGTTATCTAAACAGACGAATGAAAAGGTAAATGTAAAATATATGGTCTATCTAAAACACAAGTCCATAGAAAATACAACCTTTCTCTCAAAAGATTGTGAACATTTACCTTATTTAAGTGAACTTTTCTTTGCTGTTCATATATTTTTGGAGTTGCAGAAATAGGATCAGCTGAGAATTCATATTCAACTAAGCAAATCCCTAATCATACCAATAGCATGAAAATTTCTGTTTTCCACTAAGGATTGTTTCAAAATTACAGAAGCCTATTAGATTTTAATTATGCTCACAGTTCCACAGTCTAGATGCATAGCTTTGTAAAGGAAAAGAAAAAAAAAATCTTTCAACAATCAGATTAAGTATCTATATACGTTTCAGCTCTAATTTACAAAGATCTGTTTCAATTAGTCACAAATTAAGTAACATATTAATGGAAGTGATGAACTTGTTCATAGAGGAATAAGCTCTGAAAACTATTTTTTTTTTGAATGCAAAAAAAATCCAATTTGTGCACAAATACAGGTAATTGCACATGTAACAAGGACATGAACTTGTTTTCAGTCTTAGCTGAGAGTTCAGAGTCTGAAAGAGAATAAGAATTTATGTAGATTCACAGTCATAACCTCAATGAATGGCTTACGTATTTCCATCCATTTCTCTAAAGATAATCACATCTCAGGCAATTTTCTATTAAAAAAAAAGAAAAAGTTTGCTCTCTGTCATCATAATGAAAGAACAAAATAGCTGAAATGTGATTAACAGCTACCAAGCAAACAGATATAGGGTTTAAAAACCTCAGTAAGCCACTCAAATAGATGCCATGATTAGTCTATAATTTTGACTGCAGTATTATTAGAGTAAGAAATGGGTATTTCCTTATGGCTGTTGAGTGCAGTCACTGAATGCCTAGCTAACCAAAAACTGAATATATCATTTTTATAAAAATTTATATTTTAAAATATTTGAATTAAATCTTTTAAATAGTACTAAAACTAACAGTTAGTAGAAAAAATATTTTCTATCTGGCATTCCTTTCCTACTTCAAGCTTATACAAGTTAAGAACAACTTCAAAAGATTTTATTATAGCGTGAAATGAACACCATTTTTAAAAATAGTGCATCGTTGAGGTCTGATCTGGCAAGCATTTGGTAAATATTCCACCAAATTCAATAAGAACTAACATAATCAATCTAAAACGTGTACTTCATTTGTGTTCTGAATTGGGTGATTAAAAAGTCGGCATATTGCAGAAAATTTGTGCAAGACTCAGTGTTCAGTGCAAGTCAACAGATCTTAAGAGGTAGGGAGATACATCCCCTAGAATTTATAAAAAAGTTCAGTTGGTCGGTCAGTCAATCTATAAGCCAGTCTGTCTATCTGTCTGCCTATCTATCAGTTTAAAGATAGATATAACTATAGTCCTATATAGATGTCCTATATGTATTTTAACATGTCTATCTAAGTATTACAAATACTGCTGCACATAGCACCACAATAAGAAATATGTATGAAACTGAACAATATCAAAAGGGGCAACTGCTGGTTTGTTTTGTAACACCATCGATTTTTCCGGCATTGTGAAGGGTGCATTATGACTCTTCACAAATCTAAGTTCTTTGGAAGAATGCCTATCTTTTTTTTATATTAAATACTTTGCAGTACTTGCAACAATATTAGAGTTCTGAACAGAGTCTTATTCTAATGCTTTTTTGTTATTATTTTGATCATTATTGTTAATACAATCTTTAGCTTATAACACTAAGCTCCTCGTAGGAAGAAAATTAAAACACATCACCAACGACATGAAGAATAAGGCAATAAATATCTGTGGGAGAGATCTTATGTTTAGGTTTATTGTTATGTTGACTGAAGGGGTATTAAAGCCTGAATGTTGTTCAAAGTCTGTCTGTACAAACAGTACCCTTTAATCCAACATATGTCTATTTTTCTTGCTTTGTTAATAGGGATGACTTTGTAACTCTGGTTAGTACTGACACATAAAAGAGCAATGAAAGAGTAAGAGTGCCTATTTTGTTCTGTTTGCTTCAACTATTAGCTAAACTGACTGACACATGCCCAGCTGCCATGCTATGTGGTGTAGTAATGAGAACACTAATTAGAAGTGTGTTCTCAGATATTTTAACTAATAGAAATGTGAAGTCAACGGGATCCTGCATAAGTCTTTGGGGAAATAGTCATATGAAGTCTGTGTAAATATTGTAGGCAGCTTTCGTTTTCAAAAGCCTTCCTCAGTAGGTGATATACTTATTGAATCGATGGTTAAAAAAAAAAAAAAAACTCTCATTTTATCATGTGCTCATTTTTTATACCCTGAGTTATATTAATAAAACATTAAGTCCTGGACATTTTTCAGTCATTGCCCCAAGGTAAAATCTAATTTAGATAAAAACCTATAAATACAAGGAAAAAAAAATGTGAAGAGTGACTTCTGGGAAAAAAAAAAAGATTTGAAGCTGCTCTGTTTGGCTCAAGGCTTTAAATGATTCAAACAACAGCTTCATCCACTTGACAGATAATCTACAGACAAAATTACTTTGGAGGCTGATTGTACTTAAATTTAAGTCCTTACCAGAATGGAAGTTTATGTAGATGATAATCACCACTACGTTTTCAAAATGAAAGGTGTTGATGGTGAATATTTACCCAATCAAATGTTCTGTCACATTTGTAATCTTACCTTTGTTGTCCTGCAGTGTAAAATTGTGGTTATTTGCTGCCTCTGCTGTTAAACTGAAGTAGAACTGATGACCATTTGGTGGGTCATCTTTATCAATTGCACTGATTTTCTGGATGACCTGTTTTAAGATATGTTGGGTTTTTAGTGTGAGGAATATGAAGAAGAGTAAATACGTACACACTGTAACTCCTCTATTGATGTTAAAGTATCAACTCTTATGTCCTACTCATAATACAGTCTGGTTTTCTATTTGGTTTTCTAATTTCTCAAACATATACAGGTAATATTAAAATCAAAATGTGACTCTTTTCCTTACTTTTCCTGTAACTGAATTTAATCAGCCAAAAACAATGCTCTGTAGGGTCTGTGAGAGGTTTGAGTCTTGTCATTCACCAGCGCTTAGAATATAAATTATGTAGCAGTAGAATACAAACGGCATAGCAGTCAAATATAAACTACTTAGCAGTGGAAGGAGCGCATCTTCTGGATGGCTATAACACGGCTCTCTCATAGTTATCAATGGCTACAATCAACATTACATTGTGAACGTTGGTGATGAAAAGATTACACTTTTCAGACTTTTAATTAATTTACCTTAAAAAATAAAAATGAAATCACAGAGCCAAGTACTAAGTATATTAATATTTCCTGATTTTTTTCACTTTTCTAGCTTTATTTTCTAAAATTCTGTCATAATCTGTCTCCAAAAAAAAGGTGTCACCGTTGTTTACAATTCATAAAGGACTAGATACTCAGAACTAAAAGTTCTGGCTAGATTACAGAGAGAGCAAGCATTTATAAAAGGGTGCTTTATGCAGCTTCAAATGCTTTTTTTTTGTTGTTGTTCATATAAGAGCATTCATTCTATTTCTGAGTTTCTCATGAACACGAGGTAATAGCTATAGTGTTTTCTCTTGAGGATTTAAATTCTACTGTAATCTTGAAATGTGTAATAAACAGCATCTGCCACAGAAAAGACAATATTCTGGGAGAAGGCACAAAAGTGCAGAGCCTCCCAGGGAATATGTGGGATTTAGGTGGGTGAAACATCCGCTAGTTCTCTGGGAGAGAGAAGAGAGAATTAGATGATGTATATGTCCTCTGGTCTTAAGAAGTAAGAAGTAAAAAGGGTAGTCCAAATATGAGAGACACCAAGGACAAACAACACTAGATGCAGTTAGCCGAGTCTAGGACTTCCTGGAAGTCTTGCTGGGAATAAAAAATGCAGAAGAGACTGGTAGGAATAAAATTCCCTAGTGAACGTGAGGCTTTATGGCCTAAACTTCCTAACAGAAACAACTGTGTACTCATTTTAGGAATAGTAGGCTTTTAGGTCTCAGAATCACCTAGGTGTTGAGCTATCCCATGTCCCCGTAAAATCAGGAGGAGTAAGCACTTTTAACATTATTCAAAATTAGGTGAGTTTAGCAAAATATGTCAGTTATGTCAGCAAGGAAGCCCAGAGCTTTTAATGCTATGTTACATCTCCAGTTTTAATATCTGCAGCTTTCTCATCAGAGGTATGGTGGATCTTTTAGGGTGTGATGAATATCTGAGCTGCACATCAAAGTGTCATTTTTGCTTCCATAAATGGATTATATTTTATCTTAAGGTTGACAAATTTTCAAAAGTAATGATGGCCTATCCAATAAAAATAAACATTAAACAAAATCAATCCATACCTGACCAGGTTGAGCATTTTCACAGACAGTTGTCTCATACTCCGTGGCAAACTCAGGGGCATTGTCATTGATGTCAAGGATTGTAATGGCTACGTAGCCTCTCCCAATCTGTGCTGGATTCTCTACAAAAATAAGCCAACAAAACAAGCAAGCTCTTTACAGGTTATTCTTTGGGTCAGTATGTCTTTCATTTGCATCCCTCTTTGGTGTCAGATCAATTTGGTGTCAAATCAATTACGATCTCTCCTAGAAAGACAAAGGAAGCTGTTGGACCGATCTTCTGAAAACAAAGCTTATGTTTTCCAACAGCTTCAATGGGACTGAGATTTTACTTTCAAGGATGATCTAACTCACTAATCACATCATTGAGCAGCATTCTCCAGAAGGATAAGAGCAAGGTGAAGTAAGACCATTACCACTGGTGTATATTTAACCAGAACAGTACTATTTGTTTTGGGAATAACATGATCATTATGGCTGTAACACATATTTTTTATTGCAATTCAGTTTGATTCCGGTTGACCAAGCTGACCAGGAAGTCAAAGGCAGAATTCGCTCAGCTGCATACAACGAAAAAGACGAACAAGCTGTATTCCCCAGGAAATCCCAAAATATTAAAAGCATACACAGACTTAAGTATTTTAAGTCATTAATAAATGTAACAAACACCTTAAATATGAATCATATTCTCAAATTAAAGTATGTGTCTAGCTAAAATAGGCAACTGTGCAGTATTCAATGTTATCTTTCAATCTGAAACGGTAGATATGCGTTGAACTAAGCATAAAAGACCTAAGTGTATACTTTAACTACTTTGCTAGATAGTATTTCTGTTTTGGAGCAGGAAATTAGAAAGATTGCATTATTTTTTACCACAGCTGACGATACTAGAGAGAGAGAGTAGGGCAGACTGAAAAATTATACAAAACTTCAAATATGTATGTATCTTTTTCTAAGGTATTGCTACCAAACCTCATTAAATGCTATAAATTTTTAAAGCAATTAATCCAAATGCAGGCTACAATGCCCATTTGCTTATTCCACATGTGGAAAAGTAGAAGGGCATAGGAAGAACAATGTTGACACCATCTTTCTCCTCTGCTGACCTAAGCTTACTGAAAACCAGGCTGGCCATAAATGTAAATGAAAGCATCCTAAGGTAAGGTACTTATGCTCCAAGATTCTCACTTGTTTGAAGTATGTCCCTTGGCTGCCCTCTCAGTTTTATTAATAGTCAGGAAAATCATTGGCTCCCGTACAGGCCTGGTGGACCAAAAATCTAGTCCTGAGAATACAAGATAAATTCATACAGCTACAAAATCGTAAAAGTTATCATTCAGGTTAAACATGAAATTAACCTTATTGAAAGCAACGACTATGGATTTCTTAAAATAGTAGGTCAGGGAATTTATAACTGCTTTATTATCATAGCCCAACAGAACAGTAGCAAGGGCGAAATTTGAAGAAATAAATTGTTCAAATCAAACCTATACGGGCACAAAAATCTTTTTTTTTTTTTTTTCACAACATGAAAAACAAATTGTTCACAGCTGAACAAGTTTAGGTTTAAATTTGTCTTAACAGTATTCCTGTTACATGCACTTGAGTTAGCTTCTTCATTGTTTTTCATCTTCCATAGTCACTCACACCAGAAGAGAGAGAGCAAGTACAAAATATCCTCTACGGTCTTACCTGAGAGTCAGGGCAGTGAAACCACATAAATATTCACATCTTCTTTCCTTTACTCTTTTGAAGAGTGCTGTGGTAGACTAACTCTGGGTGAGTGTCGTGTTATTTCTAGGGGGAGTTCACTCCTCTCCTCCTCTATATCATTTTTTCTTTCCTGATATTTGGTCTCGGACTTCTGACTTAACATTTTTCATCTCCCTTTGTACTTGCTTTTCAGAAGTCAAAAGACTACATAAGATGTGAGGCAAAGGAAAGATCAAATATTTAATCCTTTTTCTTTCTTTCTTTTTTTTTTAATCACATGGGTTTCCTTTGAAACCTTCTATTGAGCAAGACAAGTTATTTTTATCTGGATTGTCATATTTTCACTCGATGAAGCTGATCATGAATAAACTTGAAGCTCTATACGTAAGCAGCTAAAAAATTTGTAAAATGCTACTTACGACTCTCCATTGCCAAAACTGTGATGTTATGAACAGCATTAGTTTCCCTGTCCAGAGACTTGGCGGTTGTAATGACTCCACTGTTGGCATCAATATTGAAATACCTCTCCAGGTCTGTGTTCCGATCTATTGAGTACCTAGGTGAAGGATGAAAGAAAACTTTTGATTTATGTTCAATTACCGCTTGTAAAAATGTTTTATTGATTTCTCATTAGAGACAAAGAATTTCCATTGTTTCATCATTTTAGCTTTGTTTTGTCCAGCTTCTCCAGGGTGTTGAGAGAAACAAAGCCATACATACAGGCCAGAAAAGTCAGACTGCACAATGCAGTGTGCTGGCAGTGGCTGGCTCTGTTCCCACAGTTCATAATGCCCTCTTCAGTGAGGCTATAGGTATTTCCCTCTATTTTCTTTCTTCCTTTCTGCTGTGAGGTAGCCCCATGCAATAGTTTACTCCTGAACCCAAGCTAATGTGAAAGTGAGCTGGAAGTTTGCCACATGGCTGTACCAGCCTGGCTCTGCTCCCACAGGACTGGCAGTCTGCAGCACAGAGCTTTCTGTCATCAGCAGAAGAGCCCCTGAATCACCCAGAGGTTGTAGAGTAGGTCAGGGATTGCATGTCATCATCATCAGCTCCCGACTATCATTAGACAAACACAGGCTCGTGCCCTTGACTCTTTGGCTTAACATATCTTTTACCTCCAAACTTGTTTTAGTAAAGGGAAATCAGCTCATTAGCAAATAGAAAATAGCATATGAGAAAAGGTCAAACTGCCTGTGGGTGTTCTGTTTATATCCCTTTTGAGAGAAAGGGACAGTTGATTAGGCAGTGTTAGATCTACAACTGAAGTATTCTTGACATTCGATTTAATATTGGGTCAGATTCTTGCACTCTCATTTAGACCAAGTAAGTACTTCAGAGCACATCCCTACACTCAAGATGAATTAAAATGTCAGAATCAGACCAAGTGTGATTATTGCAATTACTGTCACAGTGATAGTATATTAGATTATTGATATAGCATTAATCAAAAGCTTTTAACAATGAGGAAGAAAAGAATTACAGAAGATAGTTCAAAGATTGGACTTCCCAGCTGTAATGAACTTATGGCACTAGTTCTGTGCTGTAATATACCAGGTTCTACTCTACTGTATTATAGTGTTTTCATCTACTCTCTTGGCTGCAAAATCTCTAGAGCAGAGACTCAATATGCATTTGAAATTGTTTTACTGTATTATGTCACGGTGAGAAAGAGAACTGAGTAAAGAACCATAATAATAAACTTTTTAGTTTTCATTGATTTTAGACTCATTCTTTCTTTTTTCTTTTTTTTCTTTTTTTTTCTTTTTATTTCTGTAGTAGTTCATTTTTCCTTTTCTTCATTCCAGTGCTGTTTTTATGTGATCAGCAGTGCTCTTCAGCTGTTTCGCATCTGGCAAGCTTCCCCTAGAGACTACTCCTGTCACCTATGCGATACAGTCTATCTTGGCAGGCCCAGTAGCTGGGATTCAATCTCCTGCCAGTCTTTAGATTTCCCAGTTATTAACACTATCACGATGCAATCCGGAGAGTTAAAGGCCTTTCTTAAAAAAAAAAATCAGAAAGAGGAAGGGAGGGAAAGAAGAAAGAGAGGGAAGATGGGCACACACAAATAAATTACCTAAATTAGACAATAGATAAAACAAGAAGAAATTTTTTTTTCATGCATAGCAAGCAAGCAATTTCCCTTAACACTCATTTACAAGTGTCGCATCCATATTCAAATCAAAGAAAAAAAAATAGTTTAAAGACTTTTAATCCTTTAATTCCTTGCAGCCATTAATACTTGAAAGTCTTTGAGCTGCAGGAGTTTTAAATCCTTTATATAAGCTAGTTCAAATATCAATAATTCTCAGGTCCGTGCAAGATAACCTTCTATTTTCAAACTGTTGTTTACACTTTTCATTATTTGTCAAGATTTTAAGAGTGTCTGATCTTGTAATTGCAACATTCTGTGAACTGTAACAAATCAAGTGTTTAATCAATACCAATATAATCCAGTGTTTGGAAATTGGAATACCTATTGATAAAATGATAATTTAAACTTCTTAAATAGACCAAGAAAAGTATTATGTATTAATCTGCTTTATACATTCTAATTTTAGGTGAATTTGGTCTCTGATGTACATTACAGAAGAAGGATAGCTTTAAATTATATTTTCTGTCATTACCCTGACTGTGTATGGTTTGCAAGCATATAGATGAACCCCCACTATTTCCCTTTTTCCTCACCCTGAGATTCCAAACAGCTCTGCAGCAGGAGAAACTTCAATATGTCAGTTAAGCTGCTGATATAACTGGTTTTGATGCTGGAATCGTAAAAATTAACCAGAACGGGGCCAGTAAACTCATCCTTACCTTTATACAAGAGTTAAAAGCATAGTGAGTATACATAGGACTGGATTTAATTTGACTCTACATGGTTCTGCTAAACCTGAGATCATGTACCAGATGCTAACATCAGTGCCAGAAAACACTGCCACAGTAAAGAAAGAGCTCAGCAAAGATAAATTTCACAAGTAAATCCCTGCCAACCCATCCATCTAGGACTTGTTTATACATAATGGGAGGCAGCTATTTTGAATTTGTTGCAAATATATAATGAAAGAGAGGGAGAGAAAATTTGCATCACCTCTAGGATTGAAACATATGCTTTATTTTTACAACTTAAGATTGCTGCTTTAGAAATTGCAGAGCACGAGATCATCTATACCATCATCACAAGACACGAGAGTAAAAATGCAACAGCACTAGAAAAAGGTGATGTCTAAACTGGTTCTGTATCTGTGCAGGCCTTTCTATGTCCGGAATGAATTATAATAACAAATTAAACTTAATATTAACTTTTACTGCTATATACTGTCCTCTTTCTGCAGATGGTTAAGGTCTCAGAATTCCCCAGAGTCATAAGTACTACTCTCCAGATCCTTTGCATGTTACTTTGACACTTAATATTACTATTCTGCCTAAGAATAAGAGTAACAAGCGACTCATTCATGTTTTAACTTGCATGATGAATCTTTATCTTTGAGCTCTTTTCCCCGAGAGATAGACAAAGATATCATTCGTATTTTGTGTTCCCTAATGTTCGGATGCTAGTCGTTAAACTGGGGAAGAATTGCATACTCTTCGCACACTGAAGATAAGGAAGAAACCCTCCTTCTCCCTCTCCCTCTCCCTCTCCCTCTCCCTCTCCCTCTCCCCTTCCCCTTCTCCTTCCCCTTCCCCTCCATTTTTCCTCTTTCCTTTTTCTTTCCTTTCCCTTTCCCAGAGATTTAAATATATGTAAGTATATTTATAGCTTCAAGAGTCTAAGAGTCAAAATATAGAAACCTTTAGAACATCTCTCTCTCCCTTTGCAAGGGAAAAACCTTCCAAATCCCTTTCAGTGCAAACCAATAATCTGCAACAAAGTGAACAATATGACAAAAAAGGCTAAACAAATAAGCAATTAAGAAGCCTTACAATTACCTGACAGGACTATTTGAAGCATCTGGGTCATGGGCTGCTACGGTTCCAATGATAGTGCCAACCTTTGCTGCTTCAGACACCACCATGGAATACAAACGAGAAGTAAACACGGGCGGCTCATCAACATCTTCCACAATTATCTTCACTGTTGTCATATCGCTGAAGGGTCCCAGACTTAGGAAGCGAGGGTCAACATGCATATTGGCTGCTTCTATTCTCAGGGTGTAGCTTGTTTTAGCTTCAAAATCCAGCTCCTATAAAGGTAAAAAGTTATTTAGAAGTTTAATTACCTAGAGATGTTACGGCAAAACTGCTTCACTTAAAACTGTCAGTAAGTATAAAATGAACTTTGCCCATCATATGCGAGCAGTACTTTTGATTGGCAGAGCATGGCTCATTTTTTAGCTTTATTTTTTGGCAAATAAGTAGAAAAAGATAGTGATTTCAAAAATATTTTCAATGCTTGACTTTCTTGAATGTTTGCTGTATAAAATAAGGTGTGAATAAGGTGAGAAAATAAGGTTAAAAAACACCCCATATTCGCCTAATTCCACTATAATTAATATCAATATTCCACAATAACTTTAATGAGAAAGATAGTTCTGAAAATTCTGCCCTGTGAACAAAACAAGAATTCCTTGAATTAATGACAAAATTCCCTATGACTTCTGTGGGGACCAAATTCTCATTCTTTCATTACCCTAAATGAATCCTTCTTTTTGTATTATTTATATTGGTATCCAAGATAATGCCATATGCAATGTCCTATATTACCCAGTTTATGCTTTTACAGATATTATATTTATATATAATATATATTATGCACATCATATTTTATATAACATATCATAGATCATATATATGAAATATCACACAGTATATGTTATATATTACATTTATAGAAAATATATATTTATATATAACATATATTTATATATTTCACTAGTGGAAATATTTCATTCCGAAAACTACAGGTTTTAGATAATTTTGGAATTAATTGATCAATTATTACTCCAAGTACTGTATCAGTTTAGTGAAAAAATATCACAATCAGTCAAATGACATTGCTTTTATGGCAACATTTTGTACTTAGATGCAGCCTGGAGATTTTATATATCTACGTGTGTGTGTGTGTGTGTGTCTGTGTCTGTGTGTCTGTGTCTGTGTGTGTGCACACGTGTACATGCACACATGTGTATGTGTATGTATGTAAAGAACATATATATTTGAAACAAAATATACATTAATTTTCCCCATGTTCGCTTTAATTATCTTTGATGAATGTATAGTTTCCTCTGGATTTAATACTATATTCAAAAACTACTCCCAGAATGTTTGTTATCTTGCAACTCATGGAATGCCCATGATCTGGAAAAGTGCCCCTGAAGAAAAAGTTTTGGAGGTAAAATAGCATCTTACCTCACAAGCAATTGTTAAAAACAAGCGTTGTATTAATATTATCACAGTTTACTCTGCAATATCCATAGTCTCAGGCGTCAGACTACACCAAGTGCCTAGCTAACTAAGCCTTTGTAATACAGAGTTTAATCATCAAGAGCAGCAACAAAAAACCCAAGCACCACTAGAACTGCTGTCTAGATACTCAACTACTTTTTGAAATATAAAAATATATAAATGCATATAAAACAGATTTTAAAAGGGTTTCAGCAGTTCTAATTCTGAACAAATCTGGAGGATATATAATAGGTTTGCAAAATAATCTAGCAACATCTGAAAAGCATTCCTGTACTGACTAATAGGAGCAGCAGAGATGAAACACAGATTTGTTGACCTACAAATACAAGGTTCGAAGTTCTCCGCCAAGCTACACTAGAATAAATGCCAAATGAGCATTTTAAAGTCAGTGCTTATGCTGACGGTACAATATATCTGTAAACAGCTTGGATTTAAAAATGAAAAAGAAATTGGAGCACGTCACACTCAGAAAGGCATTAAACTTTTATAAACTCCATGCAGCAGCAAAAGGCTTTTCTCAATAGGAATATATGTGATCTTGATGTTAGGCATGTGCTTATTTGTTGCATTGAATCAGAGCTGAAGTATCCATAGCTCTCCTAACAGAGTTATGCCATAAAGAAGGTTTTCTGGGTACCTAATATATAACTGGATACTGGTCAATATTTATTAACAAAAATGTTTGCTTTGAATCTTAATCTTAGCTTTATACCTCAAGTACAAAGGATGGGCTATGAAACACATCACACAGTCATAATACAATAAAACGATTGTATGAGGATGATGAAAAGTGTCTCGGAAATGATATTACATGCTGATAACAATTAAGCAACCGATATGGCTAGATGAACAGCAAAGTTAAAGAGGAGACAACCAGAAGGGCAAATATGTTAAGACTCTTCTTTTCATTTTTCAATAAAAGGACCACATGAACTAAAGAAATTGTAGCCTGAAGAATGTCACAAATAAAATGCAGTATGAGATTTTTTGAGAATAAAAACAAAAATAATTGTCTTTAGCATACTATATATTTTCAGTCAGAGTGGACAAATATATGTAGCTAAATCCCTGAATTCAGTACCGCTCTTGTTGCAAACAAGACATTCTATGCTAACCTAGTTTTGATTAGAAATTGGTGTTTTCAAATAGCTTAACCATAGAAATGAATAACTTGGTTTATACAGTACTCCTTATTCTATTTATTTTAATATTCATTTGAAATTAATATATTTTACTGCAGGTTTCCATTTTTAATCTGCTATAGATATTTAGAGCAACCATGTATAACTGAATTATACCATTGAAAAAGCTGAAGATATGGCCTGCCACAAGAAATTTCTAAACTTGCGATGCTTAAAAAAAAATTCAATTATTTTCAGTTATTAGCATTAAATAGTTAATATTACTCAAACTTAAATTTCCACTGAGACTTAGTCATTTAAGAATCAGGGAGATAAGGAGTGTCTCAACGCTTTCACATAGGATTTAAACTTTGCAAAAACTGCATTCCTGGATTTACATTCCACTCTGCCAACAAGTATATTCATGTCTACAAGTTTAGGAATCTTCTGAACTGCTATGGTCTGACTATGGTTGTATTCTTGTACTAGGTATATAAAGTGGCAGACTGAAAACTAATTCTGAACTGTGTGTCCATATTCCCTTTGCCTGCACTTCTGGGTCTTGAAATTGTACTTGTGAAAATGTGACTTGGTTAAAGTTAATGACAAAATTCCTGTGTTAATTTCTGTTAACACAGACTTAAGGCATACCCAATACCATGTTATGAGGCAAAACCACTAGATCTAAATAATGAGTTTCTCCTTAATTGTTTCTATGTATATCAGATATCTCATGACTCCAAGACTCAACAGGATAGTACCACATATCTATGTTTTTTAGTCTGTTATTTTTATTTTCACATTGTCCTTCTGATTTTAGAATTACATAGAGCAGAGAAGGGAAGGTAAATTTATTTCATTAATCAGTGGAATATGTTGAAATAGGATCCAGGTTACAGCAATACTTAATCAAACACATGGAAGTATGTCATGAGGATGCAGACGAGATAGCTTCTTATGAAAAACTAAAGCCAACACCAAATTCATCCTAAGGAAAAAAAAATCATGAAAAATTCGAGTTCAATAGCAAATGTGCATACAGCACAATATGTGCAATCAGGCAAATTATATAAAATTTACTTTGAATAGGTAAAGCACAATAATGGGAAAATACTATTTGAATGAACCATGTTTCTGTATTGACTAAAAAGTAGAACTTATGTGTCTTTAATTATTAAAAGTCATGAAAATCTTTTGTATTCCTTATGAATGGTTATCACAAGGACTGATGTGTTTTTAAATCATTGCATTTCATTCTCATAAGATAGAAAGAGATCCTTTATTTCATTGGAGTACGAGAGTATTACAGTAGTAGAGAATAGGGGGAAAAACAATAGAAGACAAATAATCCACATTAATTGAAAAGATATTTCCTCACAGAGAAGGATGGAAAACTAATCATTGTGTACATATCTTTTTTTTAATAGTCTTAGCTACTGAGGGCAGGTTTCATCTTCTCTAACCCAGACATGGACAGCTGAGAAAATCACTATATGCTCCGTACTAGAAGAAGGGAGAGAAATTCTTCTAGGAAATGAGTTACCTGGTCTACCTATGAATGCCTATTTTTCCACACTCATTAGAAAGGGAGTATCAATAACTAGAAGATACAAATATCTCCTTTCCGTAAACTGAATCCTGCCCTAGGTATCTTCCCAGCTATTCTGTGGCACCCAAGGCTGCTGATAGTTTCCAAAAGCTATAAGGGACCTTGCTAATGGAAAAGAATCTAGCATAAATATATATTTGGAGGGGGGGGGGGGGAGCAGCTGCTATTTCAAAGAGGAAAAGTATGGGTGAATAAAGGGATTTTCATCTTCTGCTTAACACTGAATGATATAGGTTTATATAGAGACAATAATACTATTTATTTTTTAGTTCTTCAGGGCAGAGACTGCTTCCCACAGGGTGTGACAATGTACGATCATCAGCCTCACCTTCTTCCTATAAAACATAGATTCTCACCTTCTATGATGAATACACAGATACCAGGTTTTGAGGCAAAATATAATGAAGATATTGCACATTACAGACATGAATGAAAGTCTTAAAAAGTGCACTGAAAAGATCGACTTTTTTTTTCTTTTTTCTCTTTTAATCTAGTTATCACTGATGTCTGTTATAGAATCATTTAACTGGCCTTCGGATCATGCCTTCATTATTTCCTGCTATAACAAAAGCACAGGTTCCAGTAATGGAATACCAAGTCAACAGCTTACAAATGACTACATCAGTGTTGAAGGTTAAAAGGACAAGGCATACTTCAGTTCTTCAGTACAGTGACTAGAGCATGACAGCTCCATTAATATCCATGCGTTAGTGTTATCTGATTAGATCCTGTGCAGCCTCCATTCATCTTTCACTCTCTCTCCCTTCTTTTCCCCCCTCCTCTTGCTTCCTTTTATTTTTTTTCTTTCTTTACAAGGTAAGGATTTTTCTCCTGTCTGAAGGAAATTACAAAACAAGTCATCTATATCACAGCAGCTGGATAGGAAGTTATCTTTCACAGGAAGCCCATTTTTGTAATATTCATTTTTACTGTATGGCAACTTTGTAATAATATACTTTACAGAGGTGAAAATCCCATTTTTAAGCTCAGTTGAGGTTTTGTATTGAAAACTACAGTACATCAAACAAATGCACATTATATCTCAAAG